CTCGACCAGCCAGGGCGGCTACCTCAAGATCTTCATGGAGGAAGTGCCCGGAGGTACGTGCCCTGTGTGGGATGGCAGTGGAACTGGAAGTGTGGGGCATAGGGATGGAGCCACGTAGGGGTGGAGAACCCTAGGGGACAATGAATCCTAGCATGTGGTGGTGGTGTAGCCCATAATTAGCTGACACAGTGCACCTGGGTGGTGATGGGGTCTTGGGGGTGGCATGGGTGTGCCTGGCCTTGAGCAGAGAGCTGAGGGCTAGAGTAAGTGGGTGCCAGTGCTGATGTTGGACTGTGTCTGCCTAGGCAGCCTGTCCTCCTTGCTGCGCTCCGTGTGGGGACCCCTGCAGGACAACGAGAGCACCATCAGTTTCTACACCCGCCAGATCCTGCAGGGACTCAGCTACCTGCACGACAACCGCATAGTGCATCGAGACATCAAGGCAAGTCCTGTAGCTGCCCACCCTGGCTTGCTGGAGGAGGGGGAGAGGACATGTGGCTCTAGACAGAGGCCGGCAGTTTATATTAAGAAGGCACACCCTTTTGGAAAGGATGGGGAATCCAGCAAGGAGACTTCCTAGGGAAGGAGAGAACTTCAGACCTGAACCCAAACCAGGTGCCAGCTCCCAGGGGGTCATAAGTGGGATGGCAGAGGGAGGAGGTCGATAGAGGCAGAGTCAGGCTGTGATTGTAGGAGATGGGATCCCAGGAGAGGATCCAGTTCCGCCACCAAGAGCCCAGCCTGATGTCCACTGTGTCTGCTCTACTCAGGGGGACAATGTACTGATCAACACCTTCAGTGGGCTGCTCAAGATTTCTGACTTTGGCACCTCCAAGAGGCTGGCAGGCATCACACCCTGCACTGAGACCTTCACAGGTAGTGGGGTGTGGGGTGGTGAGTGGGGATGCTGCACTGGGACAGAAGGACCCTTAGGGCCTTCCAGGGAATGGTGCTTCTCCTGGCCATGGAGTTAGAACCCTAATGGGACACAGAACCAAGGGCCAGTGACTGAGCCGGGCTGAGGTGACAGGATCTAGAACTGGAGCTTGAGTAGCTGCTGGTGGTGAATTTAGTAACTGAAACGGAACCCAGAAGAGTCGATACGGGCAAAAGTGTGTGATGGGATTCAGAGTGGGTGATGCTGTCCAGGATGTATGATGGAACCTACTGTGGGTGAAGAAGTTGGAATGTGATGGAACCTAAGATGAGGGAGGAAAACTCAGGATAGATGTCACCTACCAGCAGGGTAGGTGACAGGAATTGTTTGGATGACAGACTTCAGGGTTGGTGCAGGTGGCTAGAAGATGAGAGCGACCCCCCACCCCGCCAAATCATTTAGAGCCTAGGTGAGCATTACTGCTACTGCTCCTGCCCTAGGGACCCTACAGTATATGGCACCAGAAATCATTGACCAGGGCCCACGAGGGTATGGGAAGGCAGCTGACATCTGGTCACTGGGCTGCACTGTCATCGAGATGGCCACAGGTCGCCCACCCTTCCATGAGCTAGGGAGCCCACAGGCTGCCATGTTTCAGGTGAGACTCCTCACAGCCTGGCTCATGAGGTGGGATGGGGACAGACGGAGCCCCGAACTCCTCTGACCTTGACCTTTGCCCTCCCTGACCCTTCCCAGGTGGGCATGTACAAGGTGCATCCGCCAATGCCCCCTTCTCTGTCAGCGGAGGCGCAAGCCTTTCTTCTCCGAACTTTTGAGCCAGACCCCCGTCTCCGAGCCAGTGCTCAAGCTTTGCTGGGGGACCCCTTCCTGCAGCCCGGGAAGAGGAGCCGCAGCCCTGGCTCCCCCCGCCATACACTGCGGCCCTCAGGTACTCTGCAGGTGGAGGGAGTGGGCCCACTGGGGCGAGGGCAGAGGAGCTGTGGAGGGGAGAGGGCTGACGGTGGGGGGGGGCAGGCTGACAGCCTCGTCTCTCCCTCAGATGCCCCTTCAGCCAGCCCCACTCCTTCAGCTGACCTGACCACCCAGTCCCAGACATTCCCACGCCCTCAGGCACCCTTTCAGCACCCATCCAGTCCCCCGAAGCGCTGCCTCAGTTATGGAGACACCAGCCAGCTCCGGTGAGAGCCCAGGGTCTTAGAGTGGCCTTGCCTCATCTGGGTTTGCCTTTGTACTCCCTCCAAAAGAAGCCCCCTCCCCCTGGGGGCCTGGGCACCTTCCACCACGTTCAAGGATGGCATTTGGTGCCTCCCTTCCAGATGCTCCAACCTGTATTTATGGTGCCTCTGTGAGGTTGGCATAAAAGTAAAAGGCAGAGCCAGGATTCGAACCCTGGGGTGGAGGTGGCTGGATGGTGTTGCTACCCGCCCTCCATCCGCAGCTCCCTGTTGCACTAGGGTGCCCGAGGAACCGGGAGCAGAGGAGCCCACGTCCCCTGAGGAGAGTTCTGGGCTGAGCCTGCTGCATCAAGAGAGCAAGCGCCGGGCCATGCTGGCGGCTGTACTGGAGCAGGAGCTGTCCACGCTGGCGGACAGTCTGTGCCTGAAGCAGGAACAGGTGGGCGAGCCCGGCCCAGCGCTCCCGGGGGTTGGCTCCCCCTCACCTCCACCCCCACAGCACCTCTGCCGACTCAGGCGGCCGCCCGCTGACGACCCTCTGCCTTCTCAGGGTCCCGGGCCAGGCAGGAATCATGTGGAACAGCTCCTGCGCTGCCTGGGGGCGCACATCCACACTCCCAACCGCCGACAGCTGGCCCAGGAGCTTCGGGCGCTGCAGGCGCAGCTGCGGGCCCAAGGCCTCGGGCCTGCGCTTCTGCACGGACCGCTCTTCGCCTTCCCGGATGCGGTGAGGGTGCTTGCTCGCGGCTCAGGCTGCCCAATAAGAGGTAGTGAGCTCCCTGTGCCTGGGAATGTGCAAGGACTTGATGTTGCAAGGTTGCAGGTCTTCCCCGTGAAGATGGAGCCATCAGGAAAGGGACATCTGCCCAATCCTAGTTTCTCAGCGCCTCTCTCTGCCCCCAGCCCGCCTACACGACTTGCCAGACTTGCCTCTGGCGGAAGACTTTCTAGGCCTTTCTAGCAAATGTCCCACTTCTGAGAGTCGCTGCGCCCTTTCTCGCTCTGCAGGTGAAGCAGATCCTCCGCAGGCGCCACATCCGCCCACACTGGATGTTCGTGCTGGACTCGCTGCTCAGCCGAGCGGTCCGGGCAGCCCTGGCTGTGTTGGGCCCCGGTAAACCTGGCGAGGAGCTATCCCGCCCGAGGGGGGCGTGGCGGGCACGGATGGGGCCGGTAGGGGGCGTGGCCATCGGGGGTTAGGCTCTGGCCGGCTGTTAGGAACCCCGGGGTAGCCAGAGCCTTGTGCCCTCTGCCAGCCGGCCGTTTGGGGGTCCCAAATGGGCGTTTCTCTCCCTGCCCGAGCTCACCCCAGTCACTTGGATTGGCAGAAGTGGAGACGGAGGCCATCCCACCGAGGTCAGAGGAGTCGAGTAAAGAAGAGGAACCCCAGTCCAAGCGGCAGGAGACCTTGGTCCAGCTCAGCCAGCTCCCCAAGGAAGCAGAGAAGGCACCCCCGCCCCGGATGGTGCAGCTGGGCCTCTTGCGAGCGGAGACTGACAGGTGAAGCCCCCGGGACTTGCCCATGGCCTCTGGGCCAGCTTCCCTCTCATTCGCTACTCCATTCTTTCTACTCACACGGCCTCTGCACTCCCCCAGGCTTCGGGATGTCCTGGCTGAGAAAGAACGGGAGTGCCAGGCCCTGGTGCAACAAGCTCTACAGAGGGTGAATGGGGAGGCCCGGATCTGCGCCCTGGCCTCCGAGCCCCCAGGTGAGTGGCACCTGGCTGGAGAACACTAATAGCAAGTGTGAGGCTGCCTCTGCCGGGAAGTACCCCTGGATTTACCACCTGACTTCTCCTCGACAGCTGTTCCCACCTGGGACCAGGGCCTGGTAGAGTGGCTACAGGAACTGAACGTGGATCCAGGCACCATCCAGATGGTGAGGGGGAGAGGGCTGGCCACCCTTGATCCCCACTGACCAAAGACTTCATCTCTGTCCATCTTTCAGCTCTTCTCACTCTTTTCCGCATGTAGAGAATCTCAGTACTGGAAGAGAACTTAGTCTACTCCCCATTGTACAGACGAGAAGGGGGGCTCAGGAAGGGGTGTTATCTGCCCTGGCATATTGGTAGCAGAACAGAGCTAGTGCCTGGGTCTCTGGACACATCTTCCTCTGATTTTCTTTTCCACTGTTTCTACATCCGGGTCTTTGACCACAACCAGCTGCTGAACCACAGCTTCACCCTCCGTACCCTACTGACCTGTGCCACTCGAGATGACCTCATCTACACCCGCATCAGGTATGTCCTCAGCCCTTCAGGGATGACTCATGTATATGGCTTCGTGCTGGCCAGATCTTGACCCCCTGCTGCATGCCTGCCTAGGTTCCTCCCTGGAAACCAGTGTCCTCTGGGGACAGAGGGGGGATCAGGCAGAGAGTGGGGTAACAGAGAGAGCCCAGGGCCTTATTCTGGCTGAACCACATGGAGCCTGCTGTCCCCAGGGGAGGGATGGTATGCCGCATCTGGAGAGCCATCCTGGCACAGCGAGCAGGAGCCACACCAGTTACCCCTGGCCGACAGGAGGCCGAATGAGAGCTGAGACAAGAGGCTAGACCCAAGGACAGATGAATGAAGACACAAGCAGCTTCTGATACACCTACCCCAGGACTCAGGGGCCAACTGGAGGAGGCCAGGTTGGGGGTAGCGGGCAGGGTAGGGCCAAGGCCTAGCCCCATGGGGGGAGTCAACCACAGAGATGCCCCAAGCATATCAAGTACCACCAGGCAAAGACTATTAAACAGAACACCTTTGTACACTTGGGCCTTGGTAACTTCTGAGGTGTGTGTGTGTGTGGGGGGGGTCCTGGCACCAGCTCCCTGAGGTCTGTCTGTCTGAGTTTAAAGTTCCTTCACCTGTTCCCCTTCACTAACCTTACCCTTTCCTGCCATCACTCTTGCTGCCCAAAAACAGACATCAGCCCCTCGCTGCCCTTTGAATAGACTTTATTGGTTTTAGCCAAGGGCAGGCCCTGAGATGGGGGGGGGGGTCTGGAGAGGAGTCTGGTGGGGCTTGCAGGGCAGCTATGTCCTGGGGACCAGGTTGGTTCTGAGGGGCAGAAGGCCATCCACCCACTCGCACGGTCGTTCCAGGAGCGTCTGCCACAGCTGCCTCTCCTCTGACGTGGAATCCATCCAGGGCACCTGGAGCCCATAGCTGCTGCCTGGATATGTGCCGACAGGGGTGAAGGGCATCGTTGCATTGGACATTCTAGGTCCTAAGGAACACCTGCCTGGTCCCAGATTCTGAATTGCAGGCAGTTCTCAGTGGACACCAGCAAAGGGCAGAGAAATGCCCAGGGCCACACACTGAGCCCCTGTCTCTTGGTGTCAGGTCTTCCCAGGGCCCAGCCCTACTCACCGGTGCCCAGGCTGAGGCGTGTGCCCCCCAGCTGGCGGCTGGCCAGGGCCCCCTGGTCCCAGAGGGACAACTCGGCACAGGCCTGGCGCAGGTCAGCAGGCCCGAAGCCATCGTAAACCATGGTGTGGTTGAACACAGGGCTGAGGCTGCGCCGTACCACCCTTGTCCTTTGGCGGCTGGCCCGGCTGTCATCAGGCAGCACTGAACTGTGCGGGAGGGAGCAGTCAAATGGCTATCCCCTCCCACTCCCCAGGACCAGCCAGTCACCAGATCTTCCCCATTCTCCCTCACAATGTCCGTGTCCTCTGGCTCCTGCCTGGGACCCAGCCTCAGACCTTCACTACTCGTGGACCTTTGGGCCAGCCCCCTCTCAGGCCTCTTGTCTTTAAAAGTGACAGCTGTTATTCACAGGACCCCACAGAATACAGAAATACAGTTCTGCTACTTCCCTGCACAATTCCCTTCATCGGCTCCCTGTTGCCCCCAGAAGTAGTTTTCAAACTTTTTAAAGCCTCCCAACCCTTTCTGCAAGACAAAATATTGCTCAGAAGTAAAAGCACAATGTCTGTGGTGGAATCAGGGCTAGGAACTTAGAACCTGATCCACCTAACTCTTAGCATTTCACGCTCTAAGTGTGGGGTAGCACCTGGAGGCCCCCCTAGAGGCCCCCCAGAGCTTACTTTGAAAACTATTGAACTTTAAGTTCAGGGCCAAGCCCCAAGGCCTGGCCTTCCAGGTCTTTTCATGGAAGAGTCCCTGTGACCTCCCAGGTCCCAGCCTCAGTTCTCCGAGTCCTATGGGTGTCAGTCACTCTGAAATGCAACTCCTCAAGGATGTGTTTTGACTTTCCTGACTCCAGGCTTTTGCTCAAGTTGTCCCGTTCACCCCTATACAGTGGTCAAAGATCAGACTGTGGTGGGGGAGCAGGGTATCACCGGTGGTTGATTAGGAGGGGTTTGTCAGAGGTGGGGAGCTCCAGAGCACATGGGGGGCTGGTGGAGGAAGGGAAGTGGGGAGGTCTCCATGCCCCTCACCACTGTACGTAGGTATCCAGGGTTCCTGAGCGCAGAGGCACGAGGTCCTGAGCTTCCTTCACCCAGAAATGCAGCTCCCCACTGGGGGGCAGTCCCGGGCCTGCGGAGAGGCTCAGCTCAGGCCCCGCTGCCCCACGCTGCCCCCGCCACGCTGCCCCCGCCACCGTAGCAGGACCGGAGACCCCCTCCTCCCAGGGTCTCGGGGCGGTCACTCACCCTCGGAGCTGGCGGGGACGTACTTGAGGGACAGGGAGAGCAGCCCGCGGCTGGGGAGGTCGTCGGGAGAGGGCGGGCCCTGCGAGAGGTTTTCGGGTCAGGGGCGGGAGCCCGCCCCGGGGAAAGGGGCCTTGAAGGGGCGGGGTCTCCGGACACCGAGGGGGGGTGGGGGGCCGGAGGGGACCGAACAGGCCGTCCGAGGGGGAGGTGAGGCCGAGGGGGAGGTGAAGGGTCAGGCGGTGTCTGAGGGGGCTGGAGGAAAGCGCGGCGGGGTGCAGGAGACCTAGGCGTCAGGGCCTCCCTCCGCGGCCTGGCTGCCTCACCCGGGACTGCAGGGGGAGCCAGGTGGCCTCAGAGTCCCAGTCCCACGTGTCGAGAGGCACTTCGACTTCGCCCAGAAAGATGTTGCGACCCAGGCTTTCGCGGTGCCACACGGACAGGCTCAGCACGCGGCCCCGGAGCTCGGCCTGCGGGACGGAGTACTGGGGACAGGGGGTGCGCTGTAAGGGACCGTCGCGCCTGGCCCCCGCTTCAGCGCTCCGGCAGTGTGGACGGGGGCTTGTCCTACAGCGCTCCCTGCACGAGGGAATCCAGGGGAGCCCCGAGGGGCCTTAGTGGGGGTCTAGACTAGCGCCATGCCCACCCCTAGACGGACCCACTGGAGAACGCGTGGACGGAGGGCCTCCCTGCGGTTCCTCCCGCGGAACGGAGGATCGGAGCGACGGGGAACGACCATACTATGGCTGCCCCTGCCACCCGGCCCCCGGGGAAAGGGGCGTCCGGTTCATTAATGGGGGGCCGCCCGGTCTCGCAGCCTCACCCGCAGGGTCTCGTTGAAGACCGGGTTCAGATTCCGTTTCTTCACTGTGGTCTTGCGCTTGCTCTGCTTATCCGGGAGGAGGTAGCTTTTGACGTAGCTGGGGCGGGGTAGGGGTGAGGAGGACCCGGGCTTAGTGGGGGGCCCTCCCAGCTCCTACCCCCACCCGGGGGGCCTCCGGCCCCAGCCCGGGGCACAGCTTCCCTAGCGGGGCTGTCCAAGAGTTAGCTCACTCAACCCCCACGCCTCCCAAGGACGTTGATAGTCCCATTTTGAAGACAAGGAAACTGAGGCCAAGAAGAGCGGTGGGGCGGGGCGGTGAGAGCGGGTCGGGCACTCACGGGTCCGAGCGGCGGCGGCGCGCGGCCGCCAGGCCCTGGCACTGGATCACGTGCACGCGCAGCTCGGCGGGGCCCGGCTCGTAGCGCAGCGCGAAGTGCACGGAGCCGCGCACCTGCACCGCGCCCGCCTCGGCCTCCCCGGACAGGCTCAGCTGGCTGCCGCTCAGCTGCGGGAGGGGCTGGAAGTCAGGGCTGGGGGGCCGGGAGGGCGTGGGCGTGGCGGTCGCGGGGCGCCGGTCAGGGGGCGAGGGAGCGTTCAGGCCAGGGCTACGCGCCGGGATCTGCAGGGAAGGCGTCCCCCACCCGTCTCCTCTGCCCCCCGGCCCTAGCCCTCACCCCTCACCGTGGAGGAGTTGAGGCTGGACACGGAGGAGCTGCTGCTGAGCATGCGGTCGACTGAGGAGCCGGGCCCCGGAGCCTCTTCCCCGTTCTCCAGGATCTCGGGTGCCGCCTGGGTCTGGGGGGTGGGGAGTGACTGGGCGCCCTCTCTTTCCCAGCCCCTCCCCCGACGGCTCTCAGCCTGGGGCGGGGGCACTCCCCGCCCAGAATCCGCTCCGGGTCTTGGGAGCAGCCGCGGGCCACCCGCCTACCTGGGCTGGGGGAGGCGGCGGCTCCTCTCCGCGCGACCGCGGCTCCGGCTCCGGGTCCGCCTCCTCTGCCGAGACCTGCGGGTCCCCGGGGCCCGGGGCTGGGGTGGGGCATAAGCTCCTGAGCCTGGCCCTCTCCGGCCCGCCCTAAGCAGATTGGGAGGGACTGGTTTGCGATCCCTGTGACCTGCAGATTCAGGTCCGGTGCTGCGGGAAACCCCTGGAGACCACACACCCACACCCACACCCACGCACGCACACACACGCATGGGCAGGAATCAAGGAGAGAATTGGAAGGTGAAGGAAGGGGAACACAGTTTGGGGTCACTTAGAGCCGCCTCCGATCCCTGAAACCTCTCTGTACTCCCCAACACTCACCCTCCTACTCACCTTCCTGGGCTTGGGGCTCTTCCTCCTGATCTGAAGCCTTTAGGGGGACATACGGTGAGGGAAAATCAGGTTCCTGAAAGAAGCAAAGGGTGTGTGTGGGGGAAACTAGTGATGAAGGGGTCAAAGGTCACAATGGGGTCAGCCACCAGAGGCTCCAGCTGGTTACCCCAGATTTATTGGGCACAGTGCTCAAGGCAGGGCTGGCAACCAGCTGCAGGACCAGTTGGGCCTGTCCTTCACACCTCCTCATGTTCAGGCGCTGCTCCGCCTGACTCCCAGGGTCCGTGGGTGGCAGACAGTACCTGAGACCTGAAACTCACCCAGCACAGTCCCCCACCACCCCTAATAGCCAGCTTCTGAGATTCCCTTAGAGGCCAGGTCCATAACCCCATTTTGACAGAGGACGATGACAGTGCCCAGACCAGGGTTTCCTGAGTCTCACATCCCACTTCCACCTGAGCAGCATTGGAGGCCCACTGCTTAGCTCATTCTGTCACTCATTACTCACCTTAGCCTTGCTGGGCATCTCTTGGGGTGCCTTGTCCATGGGGAGCCTAAGAGAAGGGAGAAGTGGTTGTCAGGGGAGAGGCCCCAGGGGACTAGTAGACACCCTTCTCTCCTCTCCCTGCCAGGCTGCCTCACCTGGACTCCACCTCCTCTTCAGCATCTTTCTCAGCAGCTTCAGCCTCCCCATCGCTGCCTGGAGCCTGATCTCCTGTGCCTGGGTGAGAAGTTCTGTGAACCCTTGGTCTCAGGAAGTCTGGCCTTTGGAGCTGTTCACTCACTGCCCGGAGCTCATTGAGGGGTGGTGCCCACCCAGAGACACATTACCAGGGGCCCTCTCTTCCTGTCCGTGTACACCCAGTGCCCTGGGCTGTATGACGCCAGCCCCATCCCGGGGATCTCCTCTCACCCATGGAGCTCTTCTTTCTGCGGATAGAGGCTCGGACAAGATCAGAGCCAAAGTGGGCATGGTGGTGCCGTTGTGAGCGTGCTTCCTGGAACCAGTCTCCTGTCAGAATCTTCAGCTGCCCAGGGTCTGCCACTGAGGCCCGGAGCTTGCTAGAGGATGAGGGAGGGCACGACTGTCACCCAACCAACATTTCTGCCACCCACTCTGTGCCAGGCCCTGTACCTGGGGCCAGGGACACAACAGCAAATCAGACTCAATGCTTACTCTGGATCAAGGAGCTCAGTTTGATGGGGAGACTGGATCCAGAATAGACAAGTACACTATAATGAGGTGGGTGCCATGATGGATATGACAAAGGCCAGCTTTGCCTGTGGGAATCCAAGAGGGCTTCCCAGAGGAGGTGACATTTGAATTGCTTCTTGAAAGACAAATTGGAGTTCTCCAGGCAGAGAAGGAGAGTAATTATTCATTAAACTACCACTGTGGGGGCACCTGGGTGGCTCAGTCAGTTAAGTGTCTGCCTTCAGTTCAGGTCATGATCCCAGGGTCCTGGGATTGAGCCCCACATCGGGCTCCCTGCTGTATGGGGAGCCTGACACTCCCCCTGCTTGTGTTCACACACACACACACACACACACACACACACACACACTCTGTCAAAATAAATAAATGACTACTGTGCATAATCTCTCCTTCTAATTCTATGAGATAGTGCTCCTTAGTCCCATTTTACAGATGAGGAGAGTGGTGCTGGGGAGGTCAGCTGAGTTGCCCAAGGTTATATAGCTAAGAGGTGTCTGTCTCCAAATACTCCTGGTAAGCCCCATGTTCCTCTGCCACTGTGTTCTTCCAGGAAGAAGGAACAGTATAGAAGTGAAGGGTGTGTTCAGGGACTCTGAAGCACCTGAGTGGCTCTAGTGGATACTCTGTGTATGTCTGTCAGGGGCAGGGGTTACTGGTGGAGGATGAGATGGGGGAGGCTGGCAGGGAACTCATCAGGGAGGCTTTGTGGAGCACGCGTAGGAACTTGCCCCTGAAGCAAGGTGCTGAGGAACCATGGGCGGTTTCAACAGGGGATTTTTTTTTTAATATTTTTATTTATCCATCCAGGAGAGACACAGAGAGAGAGGGAGAGAGAGAGAGGCAGAGGCACAGGCAGAGGGATAAGCAGGCTCCCTGTGGGGAGCCCGGTGTGGGACTTGATCCGGGGATCATGCCCTGAGCCAAAGGCAGGCACTCAATGGCTGAGCCACCCAGGCGTCCCTTAGCAGGGGATATTACGGACATATCTGGGAGCTTGGGCTGCAGTATGACCAGTGGTCAGAGAGGACAAGCCTGTGGGCAGGAAGGCTGGTAAGGGAGCTGGTGCAGCCACCTTGGGAGAGGTAGAGAGCTGCATGGGTTAAGGGCGGAGGTGACCAGTGGGCAAAAACAGGAACCACCCAGATATCTGACAGGCCACACACTGGGAGAGGGCAGGGGTGCACTTGAGTTCCCAGTGCCCGAGGCCCTGTCCTCCCCAGCTCCTCTGCCCTGCCTCACCTGACCCGGCCCTCCTCCAACTGGCGAAGGTGGGCATCTCGCTTCAGGACATCGGCAATGGCCTCCTGCTCCTCCTCCGTCAGGAAGCTGAGGTCCAACAGGCCATCAGCCTCAGGCTCTGGCTCATGCGCCATGGGGAGGCTGGGCAGGGCCCACAGCCCCTCTTGAGATGGGTGGCCCCTCTGGGGCATCAGCTGGGGCAGTGCCCCAGGAGGGCACGCGTGGTTCCCTGGGAGCAGATCAAGGGGCAAGTCAAATACAAGGCACATCCTGGAGCTGACTGCTCTTTTCTGCCCAAATACATGCCCAGGTGGTGGGCATGGTACAACTCCAGGAAGGCTGAGATCAAGGTGCCATCAGACGCACCCATGGACCTGTGCATACGCTGGCTCATGAACACACAGGCACACTTGAAGATGGTTAAGGGAGCTGGTGTGTGCAGAGTCATAGATGCACACATGCTGGTACATGTAGACACATCCACCCACAGCGAGATGCACACTCGGTCACATGCGCACACAGATAGCTGCATAGACAGGCACGTGCATGCCCATTCCCCCGCTCAGGACCCAATGCAGTCTTAGTGCTAGGCCCATGCCCACACCAAGAGATGTACACTCTTAAACCTGCATACAAGGCTCCACAGAATGTAGAACTTGGGGACAAAAACACAACCCGAGATATGCACGGGTCACACAGACTTCTGCATACATATCGCCCCTCCACCAACTGGATCATGAGCTCCTTGAAGACAGGGACAGGGCCTCACCTCAGAAGCCCATACGTTGCACACAACAGACGGTTGGTAAAAGTTTGATTAACCGAATGCAGAAATACACTTATGTGCATGCACATACACACACACAGACACACAGGTGCACACACATATCTGCTCCCCGCTCCATAGCCCCCCACCCTGGGAAGCTCCCAATATGGGTTCCCTCCCTCCACCCTTCACCTCCACCCTGCCCTGTCCCATTTGGCCTTCCTGTCTGAGGCAACCTCCTCCCCAGCCTACACCTCCACTTCCTCCCCCCTGAGGTAACCACTGTACCCACTCCCACTGAGGCCTCCAGCCAGGGATGTCCCCGCTGCCAGCCCTACCCTCTTGCCTGGAGCCTGGGGCCCCTCTGCTCTGGCCACATTGGTTCTCCCCCTTCCCCCAACCCAGGACCTGGCTGGGGTCCCAGGGGTGGAGGCCAAGTGCTGCAAAGCAGCTCAGGCTGCCCAGGTACCATGGTGACTCCGGAAGGAAAACATTCGCCCAGCTCTGAGGGGCATGTGGACGTGGCAAGGGGCCCATGACTGAGCCACAGGCGGAGTGGAGGCATGGCCCAAGCCCACCGGGCAGTCTCCTCCCCTGCTGCCCCTCCCACCCCCTCCCATGCCAGGTCCAGGGACAGGCAGGACTGAGATGGAAGAGGGATCTCTGCAGGCAAGTCCTGGCTTGTGCCCGCCACTGCCTGAGCTGTGCCCTCCCAGCTGAGTCAGTGTCTGAGCCCGAGAGAGCACTCTCCCTCTGCTGCCTCACCCTCACCAGGGAGCTTAGGGTTCCTGTCTAGGGGTAGAACTGTGTCTAACCCTGTGTGAATGCCTGGCTGCCCCATATTAACAACACTTCCTGAACATCTGCGTGCTCAAAGTGCTGGGTGCTGCAAATGCACGGCTGAGGGCTCTTATATGGCGTGGTGCACAAGCCTGTGCTGAGGTCTCTGTGTTATGTTGTGCCCTTGTGAGAGTCTGAGTATGGCACACATGTCTGCATACCGTGGGGTCTTTGAGGCTGTTTGTTCTGTGGATGTGAATATTGTGTCACCGCATGTGTGTCAATGCATCATGTCACAATGCAATGCCGCGTGGGTGACTGTTGTCTGCGTTCAGTAACTTTCTGGGTGACAGCACTGTGTGGTTCATGCATTGTAGATTTCTCCCTATGCTGGCTGTGTGACGGGCTGTGTGGTGGTGTGTGCTCTGGTGCCCCAGGGACCACCGGCTGGCGGAGTGTGTGTTTGCGGGTGGAGGTGGGGGACGTCCTGCAGACCTGACCCTGCCCTTGCTCGGCAGGGTCAGCCTGGGCTCAGCTCTGGGCATCTGAGCCGAGGGTCCCCAGCAGTAAGCCCTCCCTGAAGTTCCTTCTCCTAGAGGCGGAATTCAGTGTCCCGTCCTCCCCACTCTATTTCAACACTATAGGACAGATCCATTGGTCAGTTTGTACCAGTCCCAGGCCTGCTCCCACCTCCCTGGACCCCCAAGGCCCCAAAAGGTACCCAGGATACGAGGTGGGACCATCTGCCCCTTGGGACGCTGTCAGGGAACTGGCCTTGAGGTGTGTTACCTGTAGGGGTCCAGTATGGATCAGACACCTCCGCAGGGTGACCCACGCTCTCCTGCACTCCTGGCAGCCGACTTTCAGGGCAGAACTTCTGGAGAAGAGCAGAGAGGGACTAAGGCTGACTCAACCAGCCACCCTAAGCAGCTGCCCAGGGAGGAGGAGGAGGAGGAGGAGGAGGAGGAGGAGGAAACACCTTCTTAGCAGGGCCTGATGCAAAACCGGGCCTGGACTCCTGGCACCCTTGGGGTGCACGCCAGCCTTGGCTTTCAGAGAACCCAGAGCTGATCTGGTGGGTGGGAGACACCTGAGGCTTGGCCCCAGCCCTGCTGCAGACTGATTCTGTAACTCCTGGGAGCAGGGCAGGCACCAGCCCCTCAGAGCCTTGGTTGCCTCATCTATAGAATGGGTGGCTGCCCCACCCTGACTGCTGAGTTGCTGATAGGAACTTGCTTTGAAAGCAAGGTTAGAAACCTTTCTAAGAAGCAGAGTCAAGGAAGGATTGCTGACTGCAGGCAGACAACCCTGAGTAGATTTCGACCCTGAGTAGATTTCCTTCTCTGCCGCTGTGTGACCTTAAGTAGGTGTCTCAACCACGCTGAGCTGCGATTTCCTCCTATGCAAACTATGGGCAGTGGTGTGAAGAGCCTATTCCAGGGGGCAAGAAATTGCCCAGCCAGCACATAGGAGGTGCCAGGTGTCCCCTCTCAGACACGGTACATTTTGGCATTGCTGCCCCTCCCTATATCCATATGCAACTCCCAGGAAGTGCTGGCCACAGCCCAGCCGCGCTGCCCCCTAACTCTGTATCCTCCACCCCCAACCAAATTTTATTTCCAAGTTCCCATTGCTGTGAACAGCCCCTGGCCTCCTGCTGCTTGCTGCCAGTGCCCAGACTGCCTGCCCCCTGCCCCCCATCCCCATCTGTCCCCCATCACTTTTGCTCTCCTACTGCCCAAGTGTCAGTCAGTACCGGCCCAGCCTCTTCTGGAGTCCTCCTCTTCCCTATCTCCTGGCCTCCATTCAGCCCCTCCGGTCCTGCCTGCACAAGGCTGTCGGAGGCCCTTTCTGAGCCCTACTTTTATCTGTGATTCCTCAGCTTTGGAAGGTGCTGACAGACAAGCAGGGTGACCCTCTGGTTCCAAAGTCCTCCCAAGAAGCCCGGCCTCCCTGAGGCCCTTTGACTAACTCTTGGGCTGCCCCACTCCTAGGCCTGACTCTCATAGCTGCAAGGTAAGTGCAGCTCTGGTGTCCTTGCCACCCACATCCTTAGGGGCCTACCCAAAAGCTCCACTTCCCTTGATGCTCCCTTGTCCCTCCCCACTTACCACTGCCCCTCCCACCCCAACTCTCCCTGGGCTCCCCTGCCTCCACACTATGCAAGGAGCTTAGGGCTTAGGTGAAGAGGGGGGGCGGGGGGCTGGAGGCCAACAGGTCTGGCTTAAACTTCTGGCTCTGCCATGTGGTCCCCAGTGGACTTGGATCAGTGACAATCTCTGTAGGCCTCACTGTCTGCCTTTATAAAACCAGGGCAGTGACAGCAGACATCTCCTGGGACTGCTCTAAGGAGTGTCCCTTGGCTTGCCTCCAGCATCCATTCTCCCTTCTCTTAGGTCACAGCACCCAGTCCTTTGGAGAAGAGCCCCTCCCCACCTTACCCCCTGTGCTTTGCCCACATGGTGGTTCTGAGTGGGGGCTCTGGAACTAGGCTACTGGGCTTGAACATGGTTCCACTCTTCCTGCCTCTGTGTCCTTGAGCAAAGCACTTTACCTCTCTGCGCTCACTTCATCTGTAAAATGGGGACAATAGCCCCAAACTCATGGGGCTGTGGTGAGGGTAAAGGACTTTCTGATGAGGCCTAGCACACACTGAACACTCAGTAACCTGGTGATTTTTATGGCACCTCTCTGTATCCTGTTTCCCCCAGGCTAATTTTAAAGTTCTGCCGGGCGGGGGCAGGCCTTATTGCTTTCTCTATCAATTTTGCTGTGGTTGTCCTCTATACTGGAACTCTTCCTCCCCGCAACCAACTCTCAGCTGGACCTCAATATACATGCAGAACATATTTTTGAAAATGGAATCGTTATGGAGAAGGAGGGGGCACATCTCTCTTGCTCTGGAGAAACCCCAGCACTGCAGGGTCTGGGATAAGCTGATAGAACCTTCCAGAGCAGCTAGGGCTGTCCTCAAGGCCAGCCTCAGGAAGAACACAAAAGGCCCTCAGGATTCAGAGACCAAATTCTTTGCTAGTTCAACTAAAATGACACATGACACATGGCAAGGTTAGGAGAGACGTCACCGAGGAAGTGGCTTTTACACCAAGCCTTGGAAAGGAGGGCCACAATTTCAACAGGTGGGAGGCAAAGGACCAGAAATGAGCAGGCTCTGCCGTCTTGCTGGAGGGCAGGGCAGTGACCTGATCACTGGGGGTGGGCATGAGGAACTTGGCAATAGGACCGATGGACATGGAGAGGCCAGAGGCCGGGGTGATCACCTTGGCTTATCCCCAGCTGTGCACCCGACAGGTCCAGGGCACTGGTCTGCACAGCCCCACCTCCCAATGCTACTGCCAGTTCTTCCCAACAGGAAATACAGGAGGGTTTCAATACTCACCTGCCTTGAGGAGAAAGCTCTGGAATGGTACACGTGGAAGGGTGGGGGCTCCCACAGCCTGGACCCATGGCAGGAGGGACCTGAGGGAGGCAGACCTCTCTGTAAGCTCTGCCTGATGTAGGCACTGGATGAGGACTCAACCATGGCCCTGGCAACCAGAGCCCTCGCCAGGGGGCAGAGGTACTCAAGGACATCAAGAAGAAACGAGCTCGAGGGCCCAGGGGCCACTGGAGGGAGAAACAAGGACAAGACACAGTCTGGAGTCAAACTCTTTATTGCCCTGCCCAGGGAGCCCTGCAAGGAATCCACAGAGCAAAAGTGAGGGGCAGCACATGCCCTTTCCACAACTTGAAGATAGGGGGCGCCAGTGGCAGGTGGAAGGAAACAGCTCCCCTCCAGCTACCTGGGCACTGGCTGCTCTGATGCCCCCCACCACATCCTGGACCCATGGGGCACCATCACCAGTGCCCCCAGGCAAGGCCTGTAGCTGGGGTGGGACCCAAGCTTTGTTTCCACTGCTCTGGTCTATGGGTGGTCACCCTGGACTTGTCAGCCATCACTCATCTCTCCAGGCTGGCTGGGGGAGCCCAGGCCCCCAACTGCAGGGGAAGATGGGCTCAAGTGCTGGGAAACCCAGGGTGGGAAGCAGGGGCTACATGGGCTGGAGGGTGCCAGGAGATGGGGCACACTGCCCCTAGTGCAGCTTCTGGCAGACATCTGATTGGGGGCCCATCCAGCCCTACTAGATCATTCTAGAGTCTAGTGGTGAAAGTCCTAGGGCAGATTAGCTTGTGGAGACTTCTTAGTATACTCCACCTGCCCTGGGACCAGAGACCTGGCAGGCGGATGTTCTCCAATTCCAGCTCTGGCCCCCTGTGGTGCCTTGTCCGGTGGTCCAAATGTGTTCCCTTTCCCCATCAGGCACTGGGCTGAGGCAGAGGAAGCCCAGCAGGCAGTGGCAGGAGCAGCTCTACAGAGGGAAGCTAAGGCCTTTCCAACAGATGAACAAAGAGGGTGCCTCAAGGGCAGGGCTCACAAGCCTGGAGAGGAGGGGACAGGGAGCTTCTTAGTGACCAGTGAGACACGACAAGCAAACACCCCCACCCCCCCTTGTCTTCAGTCCCTATTCAATCCCGTCTAGCCCAGACCCCTGGGTCTAACCAGCAAACCCATCCCTGCCTTTTGGGGCAAGAAGAAAGAAGAATCTGGAACCAAAAGGGGTGGCAACTGCCTGCTCAGGAATCTGGTGGGCTCAGGGCCATGACGCAGCCATCACCGAAGGTTGAAGACGAGACTGACAGTTAGGATGATGCCCAGGAGGAGGACGAAGGGCAGCCAGGTCTTCACGAAAGCCCCGACACTGACAGAGAAGAGAGAGGGGAGTCTGAATAGGAAGACCCGATGAGTGGGGTGTGTTTCACAGAGTCCTGTCTGCCCACGGACCCAGATGGGGCTGCTGCTCCTGAGGAAGCTCCTGGAACCACTCCTCCACTCCCACATTTGGTCAGTCAAGGGAATGGGCCTAGCCTGGCTCAGCACCGACCCTGTAGGGCTGCCAATTACAGTCCCGGGCAAGGGCTGTTCCAGGTTCCTGGTAGCATCTGACATCTCACTGAGCAAGTACAAGAGATGCGTCCACCGTCTCTGGGCCTCACTGCTCTATCCACAATCACCCCTCTCTGGGGAACTCTTCACTCTTGGTGTGGAAGCCAAGGGCTGCCCTCTCATGAGGCCCACCGGGAGGGGAGGGATCAGCAAGTTAGCACAGGATGGTGTGGCCGGAGCTGAGGGGCTGGGAGTCAGGGCTCTGCCTCAGTCTGTGTGTGACCATGGTTACGGTCTTCTCTGGGGACCTCTAAAAGACTTTGGGACTTAAAAAAAAAAAAAGACCCCTAAGAGTTTCCTTTTCAGAAGCTCTTAATGATGCATAAAGCTAGCGAGAAGCCTAGAGAGGCTTCGAGGTGAGACCAGGCACGTGCTGGCTCCCAGGTGGGTGAATCACTCAACCTCTCTGACCATCCTCAACCTAAGAATTGAGGTCAAAATGCCTTTGACCTTACAGGTTGAGCCTGTGGCTTCAAAGGTCCTCCCAGGCCACCACTAAGGCCCACCTGCCCAGAACCCTGCCTCTGATGAGGAAGGGTGGGAAGGGATCCTGTAGGGCAGTTACCACCCCCTCCTTGGAGGGTCTCCATGTTCACCTGACCTGAGCACAGGGCTCTGTGGGCTCTCAGCCTCTCCAAGGAGTCAGAATCATTACCTCCATTTGACCAGGGGCAGTTGCAGCTTAGAGAGGCCAAGGCAGGTGGCTGAGATTGCACAGACTTCAGCATGGTCACCTTCCTTTCCATCAGGATCTCAGCTAGTTACTCTAGAACTCACATGGTTCCAAACAGCAACTGCTTTGTCCCTGTTCACTGCAGGACTCCACAAATGGCCCTGATGGGATCCTTGGGAGAGCAGCCCCAGAAGTGAGTTACGGGTGGATAGCTCACCTGACATACTTCCCATACAGCAGGCAGAAGAAGCAGAGCGTTACCATGTTCCAGTTGGTGCTGTTGTTATAGCGCATCAAGTTCAAGGCCAATGCGACATGTGAGTGACAGTTGTCACAGCAGAGACTGTGCTAGAGATGCAGGAAGGGTTGCTTTAGGCTGGGCTGTGGGGGAACTCCCACCCCAGTTCCTGTGATCAGGAGCAGCCCACCTACCATGCGGTGCTTGTACTCCTCAGAGGCATCGTGCACAGCTGTGTCCCATGCATTGGGCCCGCTAGCGTACACCTGAGCAGGGTCCAACTTCCAGTACCTGGGAGGAAAGAAGGGGTTCTGGGCATTGGCTCACCTCTCTTACAGATAGCCTCACAAATGTTCTGGACACCTGCTCTGTGCAGGGCCCTGATTGTGTGCTGAGGCTGCAGGGGTGAGACAAGTCCAGGAAAAGAGCCACACAGGGGACAACATGGTGTGACATGCCTGGTGCCGTGTGAATCCTGGAGATGATATGGGGGAATATGAGAGGCTTCGGGGGTGACATCTGAATCTAGTTTGAAGGAAGAGGGGTTGGCCATGTACAGAAAAGGGAATGGGCATTCTAGGCAGAGGGCACAGTGTGAATAGAGGGAGAGGCACAAAATTGTGCAGCATGTACCAGGAGTTAAGTGACTGGGCATGGCTGGAGGGGTCAGAGAGAGGAACAGAGTGACAGAACACTGGAAGGGGAATCAGGAAATGCAGGTGAGGCCACATGGACCTGAATGTCACTTTGAGTTTATTCACAGGCAGCATGCTCTCTGCCCCTCCCTTCCCCACACGAGACTAGGGTGAATGGGAGAAGAGCCTGTGGAGCTAAAAGCTCACAGACCTGGAGCTGAGTAAGAGTGGCTATGCCAAGGGGCAGAGGGCCCAGAGGGTCTCCAGCTGGGAAGTGCTGGGAGGGCAGGGCGCCCTCTGGCTGCTGTGTGTGGGAACAGCTTGGTGGAAGAGCCTAGAGGCTGTGCCTGTCCTGTGGCTGGCTGTGCAGAGGCTCCTGTCTGGAAACAGGTGCCTTTAAAAAAACAGCCTGGCAGCAGACATTCAGCCCAGAGGTCCCTGGCCAACATTTCCACCTGCCTGTAGAAGTCAGCAAGCATTGGGGAACCAGTTCCAGACTGCCTCTGCTGTGCGGGATACCAACTCTTCCCTGGGGCCTGACTCACCAGGGGCAGCCCCAGACCACAGGGGCTGTTCTAAGCATACTGATGACAGAGACATTGTCACCAGGCCCACAGCTGAGAGGGCCCCCAAGACAGAAAAAATTAAGGGGTGACTAGTTGGCTCAGTTGGTGAAGCATGTAACTCTTGATATTGGGGGTTTTGAGTTCAAACCTCATGCTGGGTATAGAGATCACTTAAAAAAAAAAAAAGACAGAAAAAACGAAGACCAATAATTCCAAACACCCAGACATACCAATAGCTCCCAGAGGGCCTGACTACTTTTATTCTAACCAGAACTTTCCAGCTGAGTTCCAAGCAGTGCCTCCTTTATACCTTAAATGGCTTGTTTATTTCTGAGGAGAAGAATCTAGATTTTGGAATGAGATACCTGGGTATGAGTCTCAGCTCTGCCACTTCCTGTATGATTGTGACCCTTTTCTTTCCTCATCCTTCCAAGGGACCTGAATACAACCTTGTAGAGCTGAGGCAAACTCTAGATGGTCTGTGGGTGAAGACCCAGCCAGGGACTGGTGCACGAGATGCTTGGCACACGCTGTTTGCTCTGGGAGAGCCTGGCTATCCTTCCCCTCATCCCATTCTCGGGGTGCTGACTCTCACTGTGTCCCAGAAGGCCTGGCCCTAGGGCTAGTCACATGGGTGCTCATCACTTACTTGGCGGGCTTCCCAAAGGCCATGTTGTCTTCCTGTTGAGGGACAAGAGCAGAAGTCAGTGGAGGACCTGCATCTAGCCTGGCAGACAGGACTGGCCAGCGGTGGAAGTGCAGTGATTAAGAAGGGGGTATGTGAGGTGGGCAGAAGTGGCATCTGGGCCCTGCTCTGGGGCTGGCAGAGCATTTAAAGTGCCAGCAGCAGCTTTTCTGTGAGAAGGCAGCATTTCGGCAGGACTGCACAGAGCTCTGCACCCAGGAACCAAACACTTGGAGGGCCAGTCACGACTGCCCTTCTGTGTGGCTCCCAGGTATAATTCTCTCACTCTCTCTAGCCCTCATTTGCTCCAAGTTCTCTGATCAATCTCAGATTGCTCACGGGGAGGCAGATTCCTCTGTGGTATAAATGACAACACTCTCTGACCTCCTGACCCGACAACAGTGGCCCACAGAGGCTCTTCTCTGTCTGGTAACCTGACTGAATCATTCAGAGCAAGTCTAGGGGTTGGGGAAGGCTTCCTATGAGGGAGGGATGTTTCATTCAAGCTCCAGACCTGCCATACAAGGGCCGGGGCAGATTTTGGGTTCAGAATCAAGAAGACCCAGCTGACAGAGCTGGTCAAAGATGAATTATGATAAGAATATATAAGAGCAAAAAACCTTTGTCATGTTAAGATGGTCATGACAACTATTAATACAAACAGACTGGTACCATCACATCCCTTCATTCCAGCCTCTGATGGAGATAAAGCTATGCCCTGGCAACAGGCAGGGTGCTGCTGCTCATCTGGAACAGGCCCACTGTACCCATCTTGAGCACATCCCCTAAGAACACAGCTGCTCCATTCTATAAGCCCCACCCCCTCTTCTCCATGGTCACACCCAGAGAACCACATCAGCCTCCCGTGTCCCCACCTTGTGACTCCCACCTTCTGAAGGTCCAGAGATGTGGTTCCTGGATGGTCTGACTCTCCACTCTTGCCTCTAACCCCTACCCATGTCTTGGTACCCCAGGGATGGGCAAAGGACTGGGTCAGTTACTTAAGAATCCTTCTGGCCACACTGCCCTCCTGGCCTGTCCTGGAGGCAAGAGAAGGGGGAGAGGGGTCAAACACTGGTGAAGAGCAGAGGGCCAGTGCCAGGACTGTCTGGTACCTACATTCTCCTGGGCCTTGGGCAGACTGGAAAGCTGCCTCAGGTAGGACAGGCCAGTCTTCCACATAAGCCTTGGAACCCACTGGAGGGAGGCCAGACGGGAACTCACCGAGACAAAGTAGGGGCCAGCAAAATCCCGAATGACTCCTGTGGATGTGCAGATGCCCATGTGGCCGATGATGGGGAAAAACCACCTGCGAAAAAAGGACAGGGAAGGGACAGAGCTTAGGGTGTCTTTCAGCTGGTCAGAAAGACACTGGGGACACTCCATCCAGTGTGAGAGTATGTGAATATTGTGCAATGAGTGCCAGTTAGGGAGGCTGGGAGGCTGGGGAAGGACAGAAGAGGGGTGAGTGCAAACAAACACCACAGTGGAATACCACTGCACCCCAAGAATGGCTAAACCATAGGGATGGTAACATGGAGTATGGGGAGGTTGGGGGGCAACTGGAAATGTTTCTACTGCCTTCAAAAACCAGCAGTTACTCTATGCCTCAGCAATCCCACTTAAGAGTGGACACTCAGGTGAAACAAATGTACACCAATGCCAGGTACGAGAATACTCATAGCACCTTCATTCAGCATACCTCAAAATAACATTGTCAGAACTCACTGAACTGCACATTTAAAATGTATGTACTTTATTGTATATAAATTATATCCCCCCCAAAAAAATAAAAAAAATAAATTATATCCCAATAAAGTTGATGTCTTCCCCCAAGTTTTTATTTAAATTCCAGCTAGTTAATGTACAGTGCAATATTAGTTTCAAGTGTAGGATTTAGTGATTCATCACTTACATACAGCAGCTGGTGCTCATTGAAACAGGTGCCCAGCTCAATACCCGTCACTTGTTTAACCCATCCTCCTCTCCACCTCTCCCAATAAAGTTGCTTTTAAAAACAACTGGAAGAGATCCCTGGATGGCTCAGCGGTTTGGTGCCTGCCTTTGGCCCAGGGCACGATCCTGGAGTCCCGGGATCGAGTCCCGCGTCGGGCTCCCGGCATGGAGCCTGCTTCTCCCTCTGCCTCTCTCTCTCTATCATGAATAAATAAATAAAATCTTTCAAAAAAATAACTAGAAATAATCCATATGTCCAACAATAGTAAAATGAGTAAGTAAATTAGGGTATAGTCATGAAATGAAATGTATGTAACAATAAAAAAAGAGGGGAAGCCCCGGTGGCGCAGCGGTTTAGCGCCGCCTGCAGCCCAGGGCGCGATCCTGGAGACCCTGGATCGAGTCCCACGTCAGGCTCTCTGTATGGTGCCTGCTTCTCCCTCTGCCTGTGTCTCTGCCTCTTTCTCTCTCTCCCTCTCTGTCTCTATAAATAAATAAATAAAATCTTTAAAAAAAAAAGAATATTCTTCTGCTACACACAACACATATTCTCACAGGCATTAGGCAGTGAAAGAAACCTTTCACGAAAGTCCATGTATAATACTCTGCTTTAATGGGGACGCCTGGGTGGCTCAGTGGTTGGGCATCGGCCTTCGGCTCGGTATGATCCTGGAGTTCCAGGGTCAAGCTCCCTGCAGGGAGCCTGTTTCTCCCTCTGCCTATGTCTTTGCCTTGCTCTGTGTCTCTCATGAATAAATAAATAAAATCTTTAAAAAAAATTCTCTGCTTATAGAAACTATGAGGCAAAACTAACCTATGGTGCTAGAGGGGAAAAGAGGGGTGATTTCTGTGGCAGAATTAACTGGCACAAGGGAGTCCTTTGGTACTGGAAATGCTCTCTATCTTCACCTGGGTGACATGAGTATATACATATACAATAATTCACTGAACCACATACTTAAGATTTGTCCACTTTACAGTGTTTGTAACTTTTTTTTTAAAGATTTATTTATTTATTTATGATAGAGAGAGAGAAAGGCAGAGACACAGGCAGAGGGAGAAGCAGGCCCCATGCCGGGAGCCCGACGTGGGACTCGATCCCGGGACTCCAGGATCGCGCCCTGGGCCAAAGGCAGGCGCCAAACTGCTGAGCCACCCAGGGATCCCCTTTTTGTAACTTTTTTATTGAGACATAAGAAACACTGTAGGGATCCCTGGGTGGCTCAGCAGTTTGGCGCCTGCCTTTGGCCCAGGGCGCGATCCTGGAGTCCCGGGATCGAGTCCCACGTCGGGCTCCCGGCATGGGGCCTGCTTCTCCCTCTGCCTGTGTCTCTGCCTTTCTCTCTCTCTATCATAAATAAATAAATAAATCTTTAAAAAAAAAGTTACAAAAAGTGTGAGAGGGAGACACTGAAACCAATCTGTTGGTGGGGGAAGGGTTTCAGGGATGGCTGCTCTTAAGAGATGATGAAGTAACAATAGGTGGAAGGATAATGAAGACAAAAGCACGGTGTATTCCAGGAACTTAAAGCCCAAATTTTTAAAAAACCAAATCTCAGTTGGACCCCAATATGCAAAACATATAGGAACCCCTGATCTGTCTAGGGCATGAGAACCATGGTACTACAAGGGTGTAGGTGCTGAACAGACTGATCCAGTTTGAGGACTCGTGGGGAGGGGGTGGGGAGAGAACTCATTACAAGGCCAGTGGCCGAGTGCTGGTTTGAAAGCTGCATCCTGCTAGGGAGAGGTAAAACCTAAATCATTAGGGGATGGAGCAGTCAGCAAAAGCTTTGCAGAGGAGGTGACTTTTAACCCTGACCCGTGAAAGGACAGGATGTCTGTCATCAGGCAGAAAGCAAAACTCCAAAGCAGCAAAGTGCTGCATGTGTCTGGAGGACGTGAGGGGACCAAGAGTGGAGGGAAGAAAGGCAGCCAGTTCAGAGGCTGTTTTGGAATACTGGCAAGAGATGATGGTGATCCTGACTAGAGTATTGGTGGGTGGTAAGGTGGCTGAGACGCAGATGGATTCAAAAGATCCTTAAAAAGAACACTGGGCAGTTTTATGACCAATGGGACAAAGGCCTTCCTAGATCTGCTTCCTAGGCATCTGAAAGGATGATGTGGCCAGAGCCGTGTCTTGGGAACATAATCCAGGTTCCACCGTTCCCTTGCTTAACACTCATTAATGGCTTCCTGTTACACTTAAAATATACTTAAAATTCCTTCCAACAGTTTGGGTTTGCTTATTCCTTGATATCAACCTCACCCCTCTTTCTAGCTACATTGCCTGCTTCAGGTTCCTCAAACACACCAAATGTTCCCACTTCAATGCTTTCTGCATTTGCCTCTGTCTGAAACATTCTTCCTCCAGAGCTTCACACAGCTGGCTGCTTCTCACTATTTAGGCCTCAGCTTGACTGTTCACATGGGAGGTTTTCCCTGACCATGTCTTTTAGAGTAGCCACACACCACCCCAGGAATCCCAGATCTCATCACTCTGCTTTAATTTCTTCATAGTATCTACTACTATCTGAAATTAATCTTGTTTACTCACAGGGATACTCTCTTTCCCCACTAGTAGATAAACTCCAAGAAAGCAGGGATTTCCTTATTTGTTACAGTCCCCAGAACAGTGCCTGGCATGCAGCTGGAGCTAAGAATTCATTGACTGATAAATGATGAATGACGGAATGTCCTGAATTTTTTAGTGGAGTCAGGCTCTGAATTCAGGGCTGGGTTGAATCTTGACTTTGTTTTGGGCAAGTTACTCATTCCCAACTTTGTCAGTGAGAGGTGGATAGTAATAATTACCTCAATGTGGGGCTACTCTGAGGATTAACAGGCTATGTTTGCGAAGTGCTTAACACACTTCCTTGCATTTGTAGTTGCTCAATGTCGTTACCATGAAGTGCTCGATAAGTACTTGCTATCTAATTGGCTGGACTGGCATAGAATAAGTTGCTAAAGAGCTACGGTGGCTATAGGCTAGACACTCAGAATTATGGGAAAGTAACTCCTCTGGCTTTTCTCAGACCCTGATTTCAGAAACCACCCTCCACCCCCATCTCAGTTCCTTTCATCTGGATGGGGAGAAGGTCTGGGTTTGACCAGTAACCCACATACCACAGCTATGCCGGAAATCAGAGTAAAGGCTGGAGACAACAGCAGAGCCCTCAGCCTAGGGAAGCCTCAGAGAAGAAACTCTCTAAGTATTTATCAGTCTGGAAGCACCATGAAGGCAAACTCCAAAGCTGCTTTGTGGACTACTATCCACTCAGACCCAGTACATAATAGATCCTTAATAATTACTCATTGAAGGAAGGGAGGAAGGAAGGAAAGAAGTTAGGAAGTTCCTAACCTTGGAGAGCTCCACCTGGTAGACTATCTCAGTGGAAAAAGCCTCACGCTGGCTTCTAAGCCTTTATTTCCTCATCTACAAAATGGGGATGACAGTATCTATTTTCATTAGGTTGACATAAGGACTGAATGAGATAATGAATATAAAATGTTTAGAATAGAGTCCAGAACAGAGCATGTATCCAATCTTAGCTACTTTTATTAGTAGCAGTAGCTATTATCTGGCTTTTCATGCAGAATTATCACATCTTTGAGGGGTGGACAGATCCTTGGATTCATTTGCCTCCTCTTTGATCCCCTTTCCAAAGACAGATGACAGTTCCTTGTGCCACATCTATTCCTAGCTCTGTACTCTAGGTCAGCTATCAACACGATGCACTGCGATGGTTAGTTCCTGTTTCCCCCTTCTACTGGAGGTTTGACAGGGGAACTCTGGCTTATTTATTTTATGAACACATGCACATAGGTGAGAACAGAAATGGTGTGAGCTGCTCCTGGCCCAGCTGACTGGGGATCGTGATGCCTCCACCTGATGTTACCAGGTCTCTGGAAAAGAGAGGATTCTATGAATGTGTTTCTGAAAACAGGGAAAACCAAAGAGGGCTTAAGAAAAAAAGACAGGTTTTCAGTAAAACCGATACATTCCTTGAATACCCCTTCCAGTTATTCTCATGTTAACATTTTATTTTCTTCATAGCACTAGTCACTATCAGAAGTACTTTATTAGCTTACTTGTTTACTATCTCCTTTCACCATGATTTAAACTCTATGACAGCAAGGATCCTATCTGCTTCATTTGTCACTTTATGTTTTTATCACTTTGAACTACTCTAGGCACAAAGGAGTCAACTTAGCAAATGTATTACAAGAACACTGAATGAATGAATGAATGAATGAACACACTTTCTTAACATTTTTATTTTTAAAGGATTCAGACTTGAAAACTTTTAAACCAAATGCATAAACATTTGAAAACACAAGCAAGTGAAGTATTTTAACATAATACAAAAAGTCATTTTTGGATCATCAACATATAAGACCAGAAAAATGATCCCTTCTCCACACCACTTGGCTGTTTATGATACAGGGAACAAATTTATCTCATCAGGTGAGGGGAGGCAATCAAAAGAGAGCATGTTATGGAGTCAGAAAGTCGACTGAGTTTGGGATGCCCTTGCTCACTGGCATGTGAACCTGACCAAGACCTTTAATGGTAAAGAGGAAGCTCAGTGTCATCATCTGAAATTACTACCTTAGAAAATGACCGTGCCATTCAGAGGAAATGGGTGTGAAAGAACTTGACCGATGGTCCAGCACTGTGAGGTGTGGTTTTTAGCAGTTGTCAAGGCTGAGGGAGGAGAGCAAACCAGCTCCCCCAACCCAGGAGCTCTTCTCTAAAAGGTGGCTCTCCTATAGGAGCACCTGCTCTCTCTCCTGACAAAGAAGGAGGTCAAGGAAGGCGCGCTGCCTTGGGAGGCAGACATCCTGGGACCTAACCTCGCTTTGCAACTGAAATAGTGTGTGATCTCCAGCCTCAGCACCTGGGAGACAAAGCGTTGGACTCCCAGATCTCTGGGGCCCCTTTTCACTGTTGACATCTCAGGAGGCAGAGTGGTCCCAGCCACACTCCCGCTCTCGCCTCTGGACTGTCTTGCGTATAAGGAAGTGATCAGCAAGCATTTGCTCAATGAACGAATAAAGCAGTGAATGAGTGAAGGTGTCTCCTCAGCCCCGGTGAGGGGCCCCTCTTCCGTACGCCCACAGGTCCTGCGCTTCCCAGACACACAGAACCTTTTCCGCCGCTCTACAACCGTCCTTCTCCCTGACTACACCAGGTGTCATGAGGGCGAGGAGCGAGTCCCATCTGTCATCAGAAACTGGCACGGCGCAGGTGACGGGGTTCTGTGACTGGGCGAGGGGTGCGGGCCGGACCGAGGGAAGGGCTTGCAGCACGTCGGAGCCGCAGGCTTGGCCCGGCCCTCCCCGCCCCCCCGACTCTCCCCGTCCCTCGGCGGACGCCGGGCGAGACTCACGTGAGCACCGGGATGGGCGTCCACACCACGCAGTAGGGAAAGCGGCTCCGGTCCACGTCCATGGCGCTGCTGCCCGAGCCGCTGAATTGCTTCTTGTCCGTCTCGGCCGCCGTCGGTGCCTCCACTTCCGCCATCCCGGGTGGGGGCGGCGGCGGCGGCAACAGGAGCGGCGAACTCCCTTCCGCTTCCGCCATGCTGCGCGCCCCCCGCTCCGGCGGGCCCCGGGCTCCGGCGCCGCTCGCCCCGTGGCGTCACTTCCTGGAGGTGGGGTCCGCCGGCTTTGCCTTCCCCCTGGGAATCGGGGCCGCAAGCCTCTGGGCCGGGCCTGCCGGGCCCCCTGCCTCGGCGCCGGCCAGCCTCGCGGGTTTGCGGCCGCACGGCCGCGCGGAGGGAGGGATGCCCTCAGGCAGCGCGCAGTCTGGCGCGGGAGCCAGACCGAGAACTCCGTGCTTCAGAACGCGAGGCCTCCCAGGAGGTGCGATGCAGTCGCTATTTATTGAGCGCTTCCTGGGGGGCCAAGCACTGGACATACATTGCTTTTAACCCCCATAAACTGGTTTGACAAGCGAGTTTAGGTGTTTCCCCCAGGTTGCAAGTGAGAAACTGAGGCTCAAGAGGTGCGGTGAGTGGCCACGCTCGAGCCCAAGTCTATGTCCCTTGCCCTTTCCATTCTGTGGTCTCTCATGAGGTGGTGGCACAGAGGAAGGCCAGACTTAAGATGCCGTGTCGTGTGCTAGGAGCAGGGGAGACTTGCCGGGAGCTGCCTGGGCCGTCTTGGTGTTGGCCAGGTGGCACAGAGGTTGGGGGTGCAGGGATGCGTGCAGCCGTGCAAAGAAAGAAGCCGTGCAAAGAAAGAAAAGGCTTTGCAGAGCGCAGGGTACAGGACTGTGAATATCACCTTGGTTGCAATCAATCACAAACCTTAGCTGTGATCCGAACCCTTCGTGGCGCAAATGGAAAAACTGAGGCTCAGGGAAGTTCATTAATTGTTTGAGATCACGCACAACCAGTATAAGGCAGGCAGGCTTAAATCTTGGGTTTTTTTGGGCTTTCTAAAGGATGCCAAGATAGCCAAAGAAAATGGAATCCACTGGGATGGGAAGGGGAAATGTGGGATGAGAAGGAAGACAGCAGCTAAAAATCAGGCTAGGAGGAGGTAGGGACAAAATCAGAAAAATGAGAGCTATGCCTTCTTGGGAACGTCTTTTTCTTCCACTGAATTACCCTCTCAATGCTGACCTATAGAAAGCCTGCTGTCCTGTTACATATCTGTTATGGAACTCTAAATTCCTCGATTTCAGTACTTAGCCTAGCTCCTAGTACAGAGCAGATGCCCACTAGATGTGTTTTAATGATTGAATGGATGTTTTATAAAGGCCTTACAGATATCACAGCTGAAAATGATTCTAATGTTCTCAAAATTTTTTGAGTAGGTTTGTGCCTCTCCTGTGACCCATGTGTAGTGTGGAATCCTTGAAGACCAACAACCAGCATCTAGCACAGAGTTTGGAATTTATTAGGTGTGCAGTATATGATTGTTGATGAATAAATTATATTACTTCTTGATTCAATCAAGATAGGTAATCTCTTCTGGATCACAGGCTCTGAGGAAGGTCTTTGGCTTAGATATTCTTCCGTCATCACAGTCAATCCATAATTCTGGCACGGGGCTGGCGGGTGCCCGTTAGTCACATATTGTGTATATGGGTGAATAAATAACCAAAGTAAGTTTTTCTTAGGGTCTGCCACAAATGTGGTAGTACTAACACAAGTACCACCTTTACTCTTGACAGCCTTAGTGGCTTCTCATTGTACTTAGGACAAAACACAAGTATCTTACCATGGCTTGCAAGGCCCTGCATCATAGGCCTTTTTTTTTTTTTTTTTTTTTTTTGTTCACTACACTATAGCCACCCTGGCTTCTTTTTCAGTTCCTCTCATGTACCACACTCTTTCATGCCCCCAGGGACTTGGCACACACTTCTTTGCTGAATGTTCCCACCCGCCCCTTAAGCTTTTTTTTTTTTTTAAGATTTTATTTATTTATTCATGAGAGACCCACACACACAGAGGCAGAGACACAAGGCAGAGGGAGAAGCAGGCTCCCTGCAGGGAGCCTGATGTGGGACTAGATCCCTGGTCTCCAGAATCCCGCCCTGGGCCGAAGGCGGTGGTAAACCTGGTAAACTACTAAACCACTGGGGCTGCCCACGCTGGCTAACTTCTATTTATCCTTCAAGTCTTAGATTAAATGTGGCTTTCTCAGAGAGTCCTTCCCAATGTAAATCAGAAGGCCCCTGTTAATCTCCCTTGGGACATCCTGTTCTTTTCCTTCAAAGCACATTTTTAACTGTATTTTTGGAATCCCACACTAGGCTGGAAACTCCTTGAGGGCAGATAATACATTTGTTTACTTCTGTAAACCTAGTGCCTAGTAGTCTCTAGCAGAATAGCATCTGCATCTGCTTAATAAATATTTGCAAAAATGAATGAAATGGCACACACTTATAAACTTGGTATCATGCTGGCTACAGACTGTCCTAGGACAGGGGCCTGTCTTTATCACCTGCTACCTCTTGGTGTCCCAAGCTTTTTTAAGGGGCCCATGGAGGTTGCTGGGCACAGTGCTTGGGAGTAGCGTCTAGTCAAAGATCCTTAGCTCCTTGGCCTAGGCAGCTGCAGAAGTGTAGGCATAAAGATGGCCAGGTACCTGGAGAAAGAAACCAGCTCCTCTGACGTCTCTGGGGCTCTCTCCCAGGCTTCTCCCCTCGCCACCTCTCAGTCTCTCCACAAGGCCCCATCTCACATGCACACATCACCTGGGTTTCCCACCCAACGTAAAAGCCTCCCTAGCCTGTGCCTTGCCTCCTCTGCTGCTGCCACCTCTATCACCCACAGACAGATGGGAAATCTCCATCAGACTAACACTTCCTTCCAGGCTCAGAGGATCACAGCAGGGTCCTGGAAGAAGCTCCACTAACAGGCAGCTCAGGAAAGGATTGATAGGATTCATAGCTACCCCTCCCCTCAACACACACACACACCGACCTAAAATAGGAATGACCATCTGGATCCACTTATAGGGCTGGCTGGGGGAGGGAAGGATAGTAGAGCCGGAACTGTCAAGCTGGGAAATCTTGGAGGGCAAGATGCTGCTTGTTTGATGGGTGAACTCAGGGCACGTTCTCTCGGTGGGAGTCAGGGCACCCCGTCACTTGGCTCCATTTATGAGTCCCCGGGGCTCACACGCCACCTGCCTTCCACTATCTCACTCCTCATCCTGGCATTCAAGGCCCCCATGGTCTGGCTCTGAACCTCAACCTACTTTTCAAGCCTCATCTCTCACTATTTCCCTCCGGACTTGCTTGGAGTTAACCTCACTGAGCTGTTTGCCCTTCAGAGAATGAGACCTGGACTTCATACCTCATGTCTTTGCTTACACTATTCCTTCAGTGGAATGCCCTTCCCCTACTCTCTCATACTACTTTCAAGGTTTCTGGCAAATGTTCCCTCTTTGCTCCCAGAGCACGAAGGCTGTGTTTCTACCTATTGAATATTCATGTGTACTTGCATTAGCATTAGCTGTTTACGTGTCTGTCTCCGCTGAGGGACTGTGAACTCCTTGAGAAGGGGTCTGACTGGATCTATTGGTCCCTGTAGCCAAGCACAGCACCTGCAGATAGGAGTGCTCAGGGAACGCCACCGTTGCTATTTATTGACCATAGGTGGTCTCCTTCAGGCTCTGGGGAAGAATGACCTCGATCAATAACCCCAGGGAAGCAGGGCCAAGCCAGTGGGCGGTCAGGGACAGGCTGGAGTTGCTGCTGGGCATCATGCAGTGTGTCTGGCCTGTGGGAGGGTGGAGTCCTCTCTTCTTCAGCCTTTCTGTTCCTGCTCCATTCATTATCTTCTCTGGCTCCTGGACATTGGGATTCTCCCCCATTAAACCCTGAACTGTCTTTCAGGATGGCTCCAAACCTCTCCATGGTGGGGAGAATAGACAATCTGAGTCTTCGGACATTAGAGTTTACAAAACGACTTCCTTCTCTGTTCTGTTTTATAGATGGCAAACTTGCCTGAGATTATTGAAAGCACAGCTAGGACCAGAATCTACATCTCCTACACCCTGGTGGACAGTAAAGCATGACGGTTAAACATGTGAACTCTGGAGTCAGCCAGCAAGCCCAGTGTTTCAACCTAAGCTTTGTCAGTGGTTGTCATATCTTAGGAAAGTAACTGAGACTCTTGGCATCAGTTTCCTCACATCTAATATGGGAAATGGTAATTCACATATAGAGTTCTTATAAGGTTTATTTGACAGGCTATACCTGAACAGCTCCTGGCCCCAAATAAACTCAATTTTAGGTATTATAGCAGTGAAAGCCACACATCACAATTGTAGAACTCTTACTTAAAAAGCACTTTGATGCATATAATCTATGATTTGGGACCTTCTTACAATGTAGTGAAGTAAATGTATGGAGTAAATTAATATACCCATTTTACTGATGAGAAAAATGAGCCCAGAGAGGTTCAAGAACTTTTCTGAAATCTAAGCACATATTAGATAAGAGTTGGGGTTTTTGAGCCTCAACCCTGGCTGTCTCTGCTGGTGACCCCTCTTAGGTCTACTGAAGAGTCACGAGGCTGAGACCAGCTTGAGATTCCGTAAATCACCACAAAATAGGTGCAAAGTATAGCTCATTAGGACCAGGCTATTTTATATATAAAAAAAGAAACCAGTCAAGAGCAGGAGGCAGAACAAGACTAAACAATAGAGTACCCCATGCCTGCCATCATATCCATCAGAATGCTTTCCTCCTTTACCACCCATACCAGACACAGAGTCTGGCAAACCAGTGGGGAGAATGTACTGGGGAGGACTCCTGATTCCCACTGAAATCCAATGTTCAGGGACGATGCACAGTCTGCATATCTATTCCATATCTTCCAAATAATGTGGAGGTACCAGGAGGGCAGGGATTAGTCTGTTGTATGCACTTTCATTAAGCCAGTGCTGGGCACAGAGGAGGAGTTTAAAAAGTTTCATGATATTTAAATAAGATGATTTTTAAAGACTTGGACTAGGTGGGATCGCTGGGTGGCTCAGCAGTTGAGCCTTGGTTCAGGGTGTGATCCTGGAGTCCCGGAATCGAGTCCCACGTCAGGCTCCCTGCATGGAGCCTGCTTCTTCTCCCTCTGCTTGTGTCTCTGCCTCTCTCTGTATGTCTCTCATGAATAAATAAAATCTTAAAAAAAAAAAAGACTTGGACTAGGAATCAGAGTTTAGGGATCTAGTCCTGGTTTTGGTGTTTTTGTTTTTAAAGATTTTATTTATTCATGAGAGAGAGAGAGAGAGAGA